ATAACCAAGATACCTGCACATGTGTATGTGTACAAAATAAGTTATAGCAATATGATTACCTAGATAATTGTACTACATCAATGGATGAAACAAAATTTAGCTTTAATATGTTGTATTGCTTAAAGTGTACATAACAGAATATAGCACTAAGATAACCAGGATATATATACTAGATGTACTTCCACAGGGTCTCCGAAAGTGTTCTGTTTCAAAAGTAAATAAAACCAAAATTAATAGCAACAAATATTTTTATTTCTTGCTTTTGAAGTTCATATGTCATATTGTGTTCTAAAGAGTGCATAATTCTTCACATGATTCCTGGCATGCATACGTTTTACTAACGATACGACAGCACAAACTGCAACATTAAGCATCCCTTATGTGATGTCATTTTAGTGTCTACTGACTGACTGACAGTACACTACTGTATAATGGTGTGAGTGGTTAAAACAAGTGAATCCTCCAGGGGCCTATGGCCCCATTTTGAGGAAATTATCCACGTAAGAGTACAAAACACAATATAGTAACATGATTACCTATTGTAGATAAAATATTAAACATTGTGCTTTCAATAAAAGACATAAAAAAGCTAGAAAAGCAAGTAAAATTCCCTTCCATAATACAAACCATCATACATGCTTATAATAATTATTTTTAAACCACTATTTTTTGCATAAATAACTGAATTGTAGATGCTGTAAAAGATTGCCACAAGCTTTATTTAGTTATATTTCAAACATAAATGGCCACGCTTAAAATTCAATTATTATGTAAAGTAATTGCAAAACTCTACAAATCAGAGAGTAAAGAAGACGGCTGACGTTAATCGAAAAGTCTTGAAATGTAACTCACACAAGTATTTTCTTACAGTTATTTTCAACATATCCAATTATATATAGGAACTGAAATGCCACAAATATTATCAAGTTAAAAAAACAAAAAAAACCAATAGTTTACCCCAAGTCCTTCACTGTCAACAATACTCATCTCAACTCCATCTATTTCACCTCGTAGCCTTTGACGTTCTTGAAGGTGATGAGCAAATTCCAGCATTTTCTCAGACGGTATGTACTTTGCTATCCCAACTCTTTCCTATACAAAAATAAAATAACTATTATCACTTTCAAAACAGGTCCTTACAGATAGAAAGGATTTATCTGTTTCATAAGAACTTGAAAATGTAATGCTATTACAGTTTCTAAATCATAACAATGCTTTAACGACAATGATATAAACTATTAAGTTAATTATTTCGACATTATGCAATATTTAGGTTTTCTTTGGTCATCATAGGTCTGCATAATTATTTTATGTTAAGTATGATAAAAAAAATACAATTAATCTGATATTACACCCATGAAGTTTGCTAGCTTTAATTCGGTATCTTAAATGAGCAAAATTATTGTTATGTATGGTTTCTGATTCTATATTTATATGAGAATTTCAAGAACATGAAATGTATTCTTGACATTTCTATACAAATGTAGGGCCCCCCCAGTGGCACAGCGGTATGTCTGCAGACTTCCAACGCTAGAACCCGGGTTTCGATACCCGTGGTGGGCAGAGCACAGATAGCCCATTGTGTAGCTTTGTGCTTAATTACAAACAAATGTAGGATCACTGTGCGAGTAAGAGACATCTCAAAACACCCAATGTTTAATACACTCTTCACCACTACATGAATCCCAGTTTTATTTCTATGTTTAGCCAGGGTTACTGATGAAGGGTGGAATTCCTCAAAACTGGTATAACTCAGTGACAAATTATAAAGCAAGTGACAGATTGGGCTTTGCATTTATTTTTTAATATTTTGAACCAAATATTTGCCTAAATAGATCAAAGTTTTGATAATTTTGTTTTTAATTCTACACCTGGACTTTTTACTATTTCTAAGAAACAAATTCTCGGCCGAGATTGATTTGCGTAAACATCTTCATCGACTTATTTAGACTTTAGACAAATGTTTGCCTCGCTTCTCACGTGACTTTTCTGACAGTATGGCTGTGTTGTTACTTTAAAGTTTTGTACGAACACAAATGACTACATATAATTGGGATTAATTATAGCCTGTCTTCTGTGGGTAAGCAGCAGACTTGATGGGCAGAACGACCTTCAGTCACCCTACATTTTCTTATTTTATGGTTCACACCTAGTATTTGTTTATTACAATTCTTTTATATTTCCTCCTATCAAGGCTTCAAGTGTGATTTACAGGGGGGGGATATTTATTATATAATGTAGAACTATTTGATTATTTGACCCGTAGCCAGTTAACAGAAAAACTGACCTAACTCACGAGCGTTTATGTAGTAGAGCTTGCACTTTGTGTATAAGGTTTTGATGAAAATAACTGCGCACAATCTAACAGTGATGTAACTTATACCTTTCACAGTCATGTAATCGACTGTACTAAGCTGTGTTTGTTACAGGCTAAGTAGATTTACCATTTGATATCACGATAAAATAGGAATTCTTCTTGACATTTGGAAAACAAAATTAATGAAAGGCAGCAATATATGTCCCAAAATATTGTTTACACCGAGGATTCCTAACAATGCAACTTAATCTTTCTAAGAAAGAGCATGTTAAAACTATATTTAGTTAACTATCATTATTACCATTATTACTGATTTTTAGTTTTGCTCTAAGTTCACAGCTTGATGTAATTGAAAGTTGATATTAATTAACGAACAATGACGACAAAACACGATATTATCACTGTGTTATTATCATCCTATACACTGAAGGTTACTACTATTTTATTTTTAATATGATTAATTTATTGCCAAAACTTGGAATCTGTAAATGTAAGAGAATACTACATGCTGGTGTATTTAGACTTCTTGTTTTGAAGAAGTTGTTTGTCAGGGGATTTTTATTTAAACCTTTCTCATCATCATCATCTCTCGTGGAAACATTATTTCAAGTACATTATGAGTAATCTACAACACCTAATAAACATTTAGAGGCATGAGACTGTATTATTTACTAATGAACTCATTGATAGCTAATAATCTTTTATAGGCCAGATAAAGAAAAAAATGTATACACACAATAGGAATCTGTACTTTTATATAAACAAATCAGTAAGAATTGAATATAAGATAAATAGTGTGTGCATGTGTTTTGTTATAGCAAAGTCACGTTGAGCTATCTGCCGTGTCCACAGAAAGGAATCGAAACCCCTGATTTTAGCGTTGTAAATCCGAAGACTTACCGCTGTCCCACCAGGGGACTAAAAGAAATAGATACAGAGGTTTATTGCACATGTATAATCAGTGACAATGGAAAAATGCAATTAAAACATATACAGACAACAGGTGTATGTATGAGCCGAGACTATTCTTGCACTGCATATGTCAGATGAATTAATATACTCAAATGTTGCTGCTTTTCTTTATATAAGATGATTATATGCAGATGTGGAATGACCAGTACAGCAACAGTTTCATGTTGCATTTATTTCCATCAAATGATAGTACTAACTGGTCACTTACGAATACTTAATTTACTTTTCAATAGGATAAATAAATTTACCTCAGGCAATGGGTAATATACAATAACAGCCTGATAATGTTAAATATTGATGGTAAAGTAAAGTAGATCAAGTAAATCAACTACTCAGGAGTCTGTGCTTTGATAACACTACTGGCAACACTACTCAGGAGTCTGTGCTTTGATAACACTACTGTCAACATTACTCAGGAGTCTGTGCTTTGATAACACTACTGTCAACATTACTCAGGAGTCTGTGCTTTGATAACCCTACTGTTAACACAACTCAGATAGATGTGCTTTGATAACACTACTGTCAACACTACTCAGAAGTCTGTGTTGTGATAACACTACTCTTAACTCACTAGTCTCGAGAGAGAAGCAGATTTTCTTTCAGTTGCACCACATAAAGTTCCTAGTCGAACCAGATTTTCCACCACGTTAACCAAAGGATGGGTGAGTTCATATTCTTTTTGAAAATCTTCCAATTGTTGGTGCAGCTTCATATATTCTTCTGCATGTTTTTTCTCCTGGGGTTTCCTAAACAGAGTGGAATGATCCTTTCATACAGCAGTATTGAAGAGGACTAAAAGGCTAATAATTTCTTGTAAACACACTTTTTTTTTTGAATAATAAATACAAAGTAAAAATTTTTGAGTGACTCACATTAACGTTTCAAAAAGGAAATAAAAACTATTAAAGCTTTTCATAAATTGTATTTTACATGAAAAACTAACAAGTGAAAAAAGATTGTGGGACTTGAACCCAGGACCTATGACTAACAAGCATTTTCTTTTCACTAATTGGCTTTTCAAATTACATTTAATGTTAGAAACTGAGTGGAGATCCTACTCATAGTAAGAATCCATATAGATGAACATTGACAGGAACAGCCTGTACTGTTCAAATATAACTCGAGTGGTCGAGCAGTGGCCTCGTTAGCCAACTGTCCTGGATTCAAGTACAAATTCCGGAGTCTCTTTCCACTTATTGGTTTTTTTTCATGTACAAGTAAATCTATGAAACTTACCTAAAACAAATACTGTTCTGCAAATTTCCATTACAATTAAAAGATACTGCACTTATAAGGGCTTCTTTCTTTGTCTGTTCTGGATACTTGAACAAAACTACATAAAAATCCTTTGTACTAATCATCCCTAGTTCCAAATTGGTAGTCTAGAGTGAAGGCAACAAGTCAACAGCACCCAATGACAACTCCTCGACTACTCTAATCAACTAATGGGATTTGACCTTCATGCTTATAATGCAATCCTGGCCACAAGGTATGAAACATCATTTTTTTTTTGCAGCAATGGGTTGCAAACCATAGACCCTAGGATACACAGTCTAGTACCCTAACCACTAGTGGATCATCACTTCTGAGAGAAAGAATAGCTTACATTTGTACCATGCGTTGTTCGTTCAGCATTTGTACTTGACACCGTTCCTGTGCTTGAGACAACTGTGTCTGACTTTGTCGCAGCTGGATTAGAAACAAAACTAGTTCTTCGTGCTGAAATTCACAATGAAAACACCTCTGTGAGATTCACAAAGAACTTGCAAATCTGACAAACAAACTTGCAACCATCAAAGCTGAATGGGATATTCACCTATCACTAGAGTCTTAGCAAAAATATCTTAAAATCTCCAATAGAGCACAAGAAAATTTTTATACAAATCTAAAAATGTTTCTGACCATAATGAATGATAGCAATCTTTTATCTTTGAAAAATCGCATTGTAAAATTTAAATTAGTAGTTATCTCATGATAACAGTGCCATAAACTTTGTAACGAATATAAAAAAATATAACTTTAATTTAGCTCATTATTGGATTCATCTAAAAAAACATTCAATGTTGACTAAACAGATATTTCATTAGAATTATTTAATACGTCAAAAGTTCTACTTTCCAAGTACAGACATTTAGTTTCTGATTGTGGAATAAACACTAAAAATTTGATTTTACAACCAGTACTAATATTTCTTTTATAAACTGAAAACTTTATATAACTTGAGAGAAGAAAAAAATTACTGCTAATAAAAATAATAAAACACTTAGGACATAATTTAGATAATTATTATTTAGAAGATAATTTACCAGCCCAAAAAGTTTAAACTATGGACCATATTTGTAAAGATATTCTTGACAAGATAACATCCTTACAGTTTTGTCCAAAAGATCCCCAGCTGAAATACAGATGCTTTTTTGATGAGAGCTCAGGCTTGAAGAATGCTGTACCAGTCTGTGTATCTTTGAAGACTGGTAACACAATGTCAAAAAACATGAAAGAAATGTTGTCGATAATAATGTAAGTACTCATTATGAGCTTTACAGCTTTAATTCGTGAAATTAAACTGAAACACTGAATAAAAAATTAATGAATAAGGTTTGATCACCAATTTTATTTACATAAATATTATGATAAAAAAAAGCCTAAAAGTTACCATTTAAAGAAAATTATAAAATGTTTAGTTTTTTTTTTTTTAAATGTATGGTATTTTCTGGAAAAAATACAAAAAATTACTCTGTAAGAAAGGAAGTAATACATCAATAGCCAAAGTTACGAGTTTAACTAAACACCAAATACTTTAATATATGAAACAGATCTCAAATTTAGGCATTTCTGTTATTCCAATTATTGCTATCAAGTCAAAACTTTTGAGTCATTACAATAAATCATTTTATAAGTAAACTTATAAAAAAAATAATAATTATCTATTATTGTCAATGCAGAAAGTTTATCTACCAGGAAAGTGATACATATATATGAAAGATAATCACATGTTCAACACTCGTACACGTATAAGCAAGTAATGTTTAATTTGTTAGTTTTCCAGATAGTTTCTGTTATATTATTACTGTATGAAAAACAATCTAAACTACTCTGATGGCTACTCTGTTTCTATGTTACAATTACAACAATATCTTGTTTCTGTACTTCTGTTATAAATACCTAAAATGTATTCCACAATACAACTGACAAAATAACAGAAATTCTAGTGAAAGCCACAAAATGATTTGAGAAAATGATATAGAGGATTTTAATCAGATGTAATTTAAAGAAGGATAATAATTTGGGCTTCTTGAAGTATGAAATTTGTATCTAATTTCAATTTTTGGATTAAAACACATAAATGGAGACTTGCAAATAAATATTTAAAGAGTCTATAAAGAATATATAATCACAACTGACTAAAGATGTAAAGTTATATAACATTCTGAGTCACAGTTGAACAGTTTCTCTATTTGCACTTCTGACACCTAGTAGTAGTACAAGTACTAACCCGATGGACGTACAGCTCCGAGTCTGACATAATAGCTCTTCCTACAACTTTCCGATGACCTGGGCTCTTTCCTCTCCAGCTTGTTCGACGAACTTTTGGTCTACTACTTTCCCGAGCACGACCTGAACTTAAAGGAGACTCTAGACAGCAAGAAAAAGCCAAAATAAGGATCAGTTACAAAACCCTTTTTATTGTAATTAAAAGAAAAGAAATAACATACCTAATTCCAAAACATACTTACCTCATCTCACACTACACCTATTACGCAACTGCTATGATTTATTTACCTTTGCCCAACTAAGCATTGGTGTGATTTTTCTCACTTGCTCTAGTCTTTTATTCCCCACTTAATTGCCCTTGATGATATCTGTCTTGGATACTCTCCACCTATGTCAGTGCACCCACCATCTTAGTATTGTATATAAGCACCTCCTTCAGATAATATTGTCACTTTTTTCTCAACAAAGCGTTCACTAATGGGTTTCTCTGCAGTATAACCATTGGAGATACTTCAAATGTTCTTCGTGTTACCCATTTGATTTTCATAAAACATAAAATAAAAAACAAATATTCAGTTTGATAAACCAATTTATGGCATGTATTCCCAGATTAAATAAAAAACAAACATTCAGTTTGACAAGCCAATTTATGGCATGTATTCCCAGATTAAATAAAAAACAAACATTTAGTTTGACAAGCCGATTTATGGCATGTATTCCCAGATTAATGTATCTGGCTTGGAGGCAAATCAAGTCTCTCCTATCCCACCTCTGACATCTTGCTTGTCTACTGTTAGATAAATTTCATTCAGAGGAGATGAAGGTGTTTTCAAAGTCAACATTTTTAAAATAATAGATTGGAATTATCTGACTACATTTGATATTTAGTTAGTATAAAATAATAAATAACACACAATGTTAAAATACACACACAATTAAAAACATTTGAATTAAAAAGTTGACTCTACATGTTTCAACATTGCAACGTGTAGGAGTCAACTTTTTATTGGTCATATAGTGACCTTAATTAAAATGTTTTTAAATGTGTATCTATTTTACCATTGTGTGTTACTTATTATTTTAACATTATTCACAAGTGCCAAGAAATAATACTCATTTAGTTAGTACATTTTACTTCAGGAAAAATGGTGAGACCATTAAGAATGTAGACTGGAGTGAGTTATAGTGCCCGGAAGATACGCATGAAAATGGCCACACTGTATTGTTAGAGCAAAATGGATCATCCATTATGGAGTAAAACTTGGATAAAGGTGTAAGTTAATAGAGAAAGTAAACTGATAAAGAGTCATTCATAACCATGCCAAAAATACCATCATTCCTCTTGTGGCAGAACCAAAGAAATGGGAAGTCAGACATGGATTAGGAGGCCTGATTATGATCAAATTTATTAGGAAAGAGAGTCCATAAGTGGTACAGATCTGCATGAAAATGTGAGGATGGGAGAACAATGGATGTATGGTAAATATTACCACACCACATTCTGGGAAACAGAATAGATATATCTATACTCAAAGTGAACAGACAGATGGTACAATCCCAGGCTTAGTGGATGCTCATCTGAAAACTTATACTGGCCAAGCATCTTACCAAGAAGTGAGGTGGTCAAACAATGATGTTACAGATTACTGTAAGACTGCTTGGAATGAGTATTTCCCTTATGAATATGATAGATAAACAAATCTAAGTCATCCCAAGCTCTGTAAATCAATTCAGAAATCAGAAGGAGTCTTGCCAAAAGAACATTAACCTGGTGACATGGTGGTCAGCATCTGTGATCATAAAGTATTGTGAATATAAAGGAACAGAGAAACAATGTATCTGAAGTGTACTATTGAGCATTTGTGGTTGTGAAGTAGCATTTAGTATTAAAATAAAGGAACAGAGAAACAATGTATCTGAAGTGTACTATTGAGCATTTGTGGTTGTGAAGTAGCATTTAGTATTAAAATAAAGGAACAGAGAAACAATGTATCTGACACATACTATTGAGCATTTGTGGTTGTGAAGTATCATTTAATGTGAAAATAAAGGAACAGAGAAATAATGTATCTGGCCCATACTATTGAGTATTTGTGGTTGTGAAGTATCATTTAATGTGAAAATAAAGGAACAGAGAAACAATGTATCTGACGCATACTATTGAGCATTTGTGGTTGTGAAGTATCATTTAATGTGAAAATAAAGGAACAGAGAAACAATGTATCTGACACATACTATTGAGCATTTGTGGTTGTGAAGTATCATTTAATGTGAAAATAAAGGAACAGAGAAACAATGTATCTGACGCATACTATTGAGCATTTGTGGTTGTGAAGTATCATTTAATGTGAAAATAAAGGAACAGAGAAACAATGTATCTGACGCATACTATTGAGCATTTGTGGTTGTGAAGTATCATTTAATGTGAAAGTAAAAGAGAAGAAAAACAATGTATCTGATACATACCAGTGAGCATCTGTGGTTGTAATATATGGAGGTTATTTATAGCTAACAACCAATATGGTATGACAGGAAGAGTTATTGTTTATTGCCCAGTAGTTGTAGGACTTCTTTAAACACACTGATCCTGCTTAGTACTTAGTAATGACTGTATTTTGTACACACAAACATTCCTCTTTCTCTTCATTATATATATATATCCGTTAAAGCAATAGTTAATAATTTCTTTGTTTAAATGTTTAAACACTTGACATTTAAATGCACATTTAAAAGAAATTTGACATTTGCTTCACTGGTATATTTCGCGATCAACCACACTAAATGCTGTTATTTCATTCCATAAATTACACCATTTAGCTTTGTTAAAAATTTATTGGCAATGATTGTCTTACTCAAGGATGTTGTTTTTAACAAACAAAGTATTATTAAAAACCCAAGACCATCACCAACAGTCATAGTTATTATGGCATAATTTTATAACCACTGCAACATCACTATTGTAGCAAATCGGAATGTTTGTGATTGCAATTTGCAACCTGATACGATAAAGTTTAAATACTGCAACTATACAGAATAATAATCACATATTTCTGTAATTTTCCTAATCTTTTTTTTAATTACACGTGTCATTATAATACTTTAAAATGTCTGGATAGAATAAATAATTTTTTCGTAGTGTAACATTCATGTTTGTATTATAGCATCATTACTGTAAAGTACAGTATTTCGTGTCTAGTATCTGCCTCATACTTACATACCTTGTAAAATCAAATATTACATGCACTGATGTTTTAAAATTATTGCTCAAAGTCATATCTTTAAAACATATTGCTACCAAAGAAAGATTACCTTGTGATCTTGACGAAGCTCTCTTCGTTCTCTGATTGAGGTCTGTTTCTTGCTTAATTCCACTAGCCGTCCCTAAATGATGTTCAATTTGTGGCTCTAGCTTATTATATGAAAGCTTCTTAGGTTTATATACAGTTTCAGAAGTTGCAGGAGTGTCATTAGACTTAAAAACTGATAGTGGCATTGGATGCACAGCTTTGTTAATCTGGTTACTTTGAAGATGAAGCTTCCACATTCTTTGCTGCATTTCCTGGGCTTCTATGCTCTGCAGCACTTGTTGAGAGTATTCCTCTGGGAGAGGAGGTCTTGGAGGTGGTACTCCCGGAGAAGTATGGGCCGTTTCAATCTCTACATTCTTTTTTTCTTTAAAGCTCTGTTTTCCAGCCATTGGAGATATAAGCATTTTTTCCGTGCACTCCATAAGACTTTTCACGGGTTCTTCTTGTTGAGCTATACTCTGAATATCCTGATCATCAAAGTTATCGGTTGGAACCAAAACAAGGTGTTTCTGATGGCCAGCATCAAAAGGTTCGTAGATATTTTCATTGATAAACACAGGACTAGTTGTAGCAATCCTATCAGAGTTGTTTACCTGGAGTTTTTTCTGGTCTATATCACTTTCAGTTCTAGGATACCATGAACTACCACCTGAACTCCAAGGTTGCTGAGGTCTTGAATCAGAAGTACTACCATAATAAGACCCATAAACAGACCTAAGATGATTCTTTCCTGGAAGATTTTCCAAATTCCTATTACCATACATACTATAGAGACATGATGGATCTTGTGCAATCCTATCAAGCATGTCATCACTATCCTCCTTTTCTATGTCATTCCAAGACCACGGCGAATGACTTAAATCGCTGCTGACAAACGGCATTTCTATTGACTGAAGATCAAATTCTATCATTCTGTTGGCAAAGTTATCTGAGTGTGGTCTTCGGAGAAGTGGGTCCATGATCATATTGTCATTTGGCTGTGAAGGGTTTCTGTAAACAGATAAATTCTCATAATCCCGCTCTGACCTGTGCCTAGACCGTGACCTAAGGGCTGTACTGAACCCAGGTGACATCCGAAAAAAGAGCTGTGGCTTATAACATAGATCTCCCTGCCAAGTCCAATAATTGTATTCATTTTCCCAGTTGTCGTACCATCTAGAATCAAAATCGTATCTATCATCATAATAAAAATGTCTTTGATCACCTGATTTAATAAATCTACCCCCTCCTGGACTTATATCATACGGTGGCACTAGGTCAGGAGCACCCTGAGGAAGAGTTATGCAGCTAGCATGAAGGCGTTTTGGCTTTGGCGGGCTAACAGTATAATAAGAGTGTCCTATTCTTCCTTTAGAAGAAACAGCACTTGGAATAACTGACTGACTAATGTACTGACTCAGATATCTCTCACTGCTACTTAAAAAACCACTGTCACTTGTACCATCATTAGCAACAATGTTCCCTTCTGTATCTCTTGAAAGATCTAGAGTTGACTGATCACAAGTGGACTGAGTAGACACAAAGCTACTGTCAGAAGGTTTTGGGGGGCCATCTCGATCTTCTACTTTGCAGGGCTGTGAAGAAGCATACTGAGAGTTGTCATCATCCAACCCTGGTGTTGGTGGCATACTCAGTTGATCAGTACTGAAATGTCTTCTGATAAAATACAGAAGTATCAGTGACTGTAAGTAATGATAACTGTTTGTTATTAAGCAGTTTAACACTTATACTTGCTTCTTTTGTAAAAATATTTTTAGTGATTTACCTTATGCTGTATAAAACTCGGAAATGCTATTGCGATACATGAAGAGAAAATGGTATTAATTATATCAATTATTTTTCCAAGCATTTTTACCCTGAACTCAAAGAGTAGCAAAAATAGTTTAAAGGAGTAAACTAAGCTCCTATTCAAATTCTATCTTAGTCTACTATCATGCCAAACTTTTTATCCCACCTTGTAAACGTCTGCATGATTGTTGCCAGACATAAAGCATTCATCCACTGTATCATTAGCTCCCGAGACTCTGCAGCAAAAAAGTAAGTCTTCATGTTTTGGTGCTCTGCCTTCATTACAGAAGTAAAAATGAAAGCATAAGTGTTCATGTTCTGGTGCTCTGCCTGTTAACTTATGAAAAAGTTAGAACTTATACGTATATCTCTATGAATATTTTAACATGTAAGTATTACTAAGCAACCATTTCTAGGCTCTTTTATGGAAGAAAAGTTTAAAACACAATTCTTCATGAAGATTCAATTACAGGCACTCGTGTAATCAATTTCGAAATTAAAAACAAGATCAACAACCAAAATTAAAAATACTCTACATATTTTGGTAGTTTTATGCTACCAACATCAGGAGTAAAAACCTACATGACAAGCGAGTAATTTTATAAAGCAACAGTTTAACTGATTCTAATCTATGAGGGTGGTATGAGTATTGTACATAAGAAGTCAATATTTCTTTCCAAAATTGTGCATTATCGCCCACTAACCCTTCATTTCTATTTAACAAAGAATTATTTATTTTCCAGCACAAAATTTCTACTGATTCTCTGATATTTAATTCACTTGTTATCATTTCTTGCCATTGTACTGAATGACCTGTTTCAACAATATGTTCAGCAAGAGGGAAAATTAGCATGTTTTTGTTGTGTACTTAACCTTTATGTTCATTCAGATGATATTAATTCATTAAGACCAAAACTTGTAGAGTCTTTTTAGTTTTTAAAAATTTTATTGTAAGTTTTAAATGTTGATCTTGTTATCAATTTTACGATTCTTCATGTGTTCACATGAAAATCTTCTTTTTTTTTTACATTGATCTAGGGTATGGTTGTATGAAAAAAATATAAAAACCTTTGTAACCAATGTTTGCTAAGGTTGTTAGGCAGAAGAAAAATCCTTCCAGTGAATCTTACTGACATGCCTAGGTTATTAGCTGTCTTTTTGCTACATTACTAACTTGATATTAATGCACTAACAATACAAATTACAAAGTTGTAAAAAAATATAAATATCAATGAGTACATACACCATTATCTACAACAAGAGGTTTCCACACATATTATCAGACTATAATAATACAGGATTTTAAAAACAAAGACCAGACCAGACAAAATGTGTGTTCTCTCAGTTTGCTGTTTGCTCTTGTTTATGTTTTTGGTCCTAAATGTTTACAGCCTAATTATACATAACAAGTTAATGTATTTCCTATCTAATTGATATTCATAAACATTAAATTACTTGTAAAACAATGAACTTATGAATGTATAAGTCTTTCACAGCCTATGTTTAACAGATGAAAACAGAATGCCCCGATTAACCTCTGCCAAAAACACCCCAAAACATGTGGATGAAACCAGCCTGCATTCAGTTATAAATTCTCGGTAATACACCCAAATATAAAGTTATAAAACTTTGTTAGTTTGTTTGTTTTTGAATTTTGCGCAAAGCTACACGAGGGCTATCTGCGCTAGCCGTCCCTAATTTAGCAGTGTAAGACTAGAGGGAAGGCAGCTAGTCATCACCACCCACCGCCAACTCTTGGGCTACTCTTGTACCAACGAATAGTGGGATTGACCATCACATTATAATGCCCCCACGGCTGAAAGGGCAAGCATGTTTGGTGTGACGGGGATTCGAACCCGCGACCCTCGGATTGTGAGTCGAGCGCCCTAACCACCTGGTCATGCCGGGCAGTTATAAAAGAACAATAAAAAATTTTGAAACACTTACCTGTATCAAAATTTCAATAAATAATTTTAATTTCAGTATAGAAGTACAAAATAAACATGAATATCAGAGCAAGAGAAAAGTCAGTCCACATTAGACTATCATGCAACAAATATTGCAGTGCCAAATACTGATTTGTATTGGTATATTTTGTTAAATCTGCTCTACACGTACTCGCAAAAAGTAATACATACTTCAAATAAAAACAAATAAATATAAAAAAGCTTACTGATTTAGCAGAATTCAGGTTCCATATGCATTTTCAAAAGATGATAAAATACAAACAAAACTGTTGAAAAAAAGTAAAAGAATTTCAAACTTAGAGCAGTCCCTGCAAACAAACAAACAAAAAAAACTTATACTTCAAAGCATATTCACTGATTCCAAACTTAGTACAAATTTCAGTTCCGCATTTATTTGCCTTACAGTATAGCAGTCGTCTTATGTAGAGAAAAGTATTTTTAATCACAAACATAGTTAAACAGAACATCATTATTTTGACGTACAAGACTTAGAAACAAGTACTCTAGATCTGATCTACATTTAAGTTGATTTTACTACAAGTGCTGTACAGAACATTTTTAAAGCAAAGGGGTATCTATTTACTATTTACAAGTATGAAACTCCTTATACAAGAGAGAAAAAGTTGTGATTTATCAAACAATCATTGTTGCCCAGTAGATTTAAAATTCCAGTTACTAGGCGACAAATTTTTTTGACTGAGCAACATTTCTATCACCCAGTCACTACGTTCAAAAAATGCTGTGATGATATAAAAAGTATCTTCACAGGAGTACCTGAGGAACAAAGACATGAAATTTTTACCTAACAATTATTTTTTCATCACATCATAATTATCAACTAATTAATTCTACTTATATTGCTACCGGATAATGTGAAATTCATTATGTTTCATTTGAAATGTTTCAGTTTATGTTTCTGGTTTAACTTAGCAACCATATATAGTTAAATTAGAATAAATGTATACTAAATAATTCCCATGAATACTTGAAGAAGTTGTGTAACAATGCTGCCTACTTGTTACTCAGTAACCATATATCATTAAATTAGAATAAATGTATACTAAATAATTCCCATGAATACTTGAAGAAGTTGTTTAACAATGCTGCCTACTTGTTACTCAGTAACCATATATAATTAAATTAGAATAAATGTATACTAAATAATTCCCATGAATACTTGAAGAAGTTGTGAAGTTGTGTAACAATGCTGCCTACTTG